CAAAAATAGTTAAACATAAAAAGAATACAAAATCATTGTTCAGTTTACAGTAATGTATAGTTTGATAGCGTTGAAACTAACACAGAAAGACTTTTTTTGTCACTCCACGCTACCTTAATATTAGTATACGCTTATAACCACGGGTCGATGTGATGACTAAAACATTATTATAAGGGATAATGAGGTGTTTGGCACCTCAAACTCGCAATAGACGGGGCGAAACACCTTGCTATAGATTACTCACTTTAATGAATGTTGACTTGCTGAAATTGACGCTGTATTTCGACGCCATGCCGTTCACAGTAACAGAGAAAAATTGTATGAGTCATTACTTCATGGAAAGGAATTTAGTATTTAATTCTCGCTTGTGTATGACTGCACGTGATTATAATTATTTTTAATCTGAGGATGTAAGATGTTTCCAATATCTCTCTTTGTTAGCTCTATGGAATTTTCATTTCAATTTACAGTTCTTTTTATATGTTTGACACTTAGTGAATCAATGTCGTTCTGCTTCCTTCTGCTCAATCGGGTCGTTTCTTTTGTTGTCCTACTTCCTTCCGTTCAGCTAGGTTGTTTATTTTGTTGTTCTACTTCCTTCCGCTCAGCCAGATTGTTTCTTTTGTGGTCCTACTTTCTACCACTCAGCCAGGTTGTTTCTTTGTTGTCCTACTTCCTTCCACTCAGCCAGGTTGGTTATTTTGTTGTTCTACTTCCTTCCACTCAGTCAGATTGTTTCTTTTGTTGTCCTACTTCCTTTCGTTCAGCTAGGTTGTTTATTTTGTTGTCCTACTTCCTTTCGTTCAGCTAGGTTGTTTATTTTGTTGTCCTACTTCCTTTCGTTCAGCTAGGTTGTTTCTTTTGTTATCCTACTTCCTTCCACTCAGCCAGATTGTTTCTTTTGTTGTCCTACTTCCTTCCGTTCAGCTAGGTTGTTTCTTTTGTTGTCCTACTTCCTTCCGCTCAACCAGGTTGTTTCCTTTGTTGTGCTACTTCCTTCCGCTCAACCGTTTATTTTAGTGAATTACTTTTTTTGTTTTCTAGTGTTAAACTAATGGCATCAACAATGCCTGATTTCGTTGATAAGTGAAAAACAACACAATCCTTGACATTTTTATCATTTTCAAGTACAATAGCTCTGTTTTACACACAATTCTGTATATGTTTGATATCTGAATTAATCCCAAAAATATGTCATACAATAAACCCAAACTCTTTTGTATACACAATGGGCTGTTGCTGAAGCCTGAGAGGAAGAAAACTTGTATTTCAAATATGAAGAATATGAAAAACAACAAAACAGGACAAGATGGCTCAGTAGTAGCTTGAAGAACAGGAAAAACAACAACAAGTAAGAAACGGCATGTTCATGAAAGAGATAAGTTATGTCAGTAGTACTGTAGTAGCTTGAAGAACAGGAAAAACAACAAGTAAGAAACGGCATGTTCATGAAAGAGATAAGCTATGTCAGTAGTACTGTAGTAGCTTGACTAGCAAG